AGAGTCCTCTCCTGCTGATGTTCAGGTGTATATCAGTATGTAGTGTCTCTACTTTAAAGAGTCCTCTCCTGCTGATGTTCAGGTGTATATCAGTATGTAGTGTCTCTACTTTAAAGAGTCCTCTCCTGCTGATGTTCAGGTGTGTATCAGTATGTAGTGTCTCTACTTTAAAGAGTCCTCTCCTGCTGATGTTCAGGTGTATATCAGTGTGTAGTGTCTCTACTTTAAAGAGTCCTCTCCTGCTGATGTTCAGGTGTATATCAGTGTGTAGTGTCTCTACTTTAAAGAGTCCTCTCCTGCTGATGTTCAGGTGTATATCAGTATGTCGTGTCTCTACTTTAAAGAGTCCTCTCCTGCTGATGTTCAGGTGTATATCAGTATGTAGTGTCTCTACTTTAAAGAGTCCTCTCCTGCTGATGTTCAGGTGTGTATCAGTATGTAGTGTCTCTACTTTAAAGAGTCCTCTCCTGCTGATGTTCAGGTGTATATCAGTGTGTAGTGTCTCTACTTTAAAGAGTCCTCTCCTGCTGATGTTCAGGTGTATATCAGTGTGTAGTGTCTCTACTTTAAAGAGTCCTCTCCTGCTGATGTTCAGGTGTATATCAGTATGTCGTGTCTCTACCTTAAAGAGTCCTCTCCTGCTGATGTTCAGGTGTATATCAGTATGTAGTGTCTCTACTTTAAAGAGTCCTCTCCTGCTGATGTTCAGGTGTGTATCAGTATGTAGTGTCTCTACTTTAAAGAGTCCCCTCCTGCTGATGTTCAGGTGTATATCAGTATGTAGTGTCTCTACTTTAAAGAGTCCTCTCCTGCTGATGTTCAGGTGTGTATCAGTATGTAGTGTCTCTACTTTAAAGAGTCCTCTCCTGCTGATGTTCAGGTGTATATCAGTGTGTAGTGTCTCTACTTTAAAGAGTCCTCTCCTGCTGATGTTCAGGTGTGTATCAGTATGTAGTGTCTCTACTTTAAAGAGTCCTCTCCTGCTGATGTTCAGGTGTATATCAGTGTGTAGTGTCTCTACTTTAAAGAGTCCTCTCCTGCTGATGTTCAGGTGTATATCAGTGTGTAGTGTCTCTACTTTAAAGAGTCCTCTCCTGCTGATGTTCAGATGTATATCAGTATGTCGTGTCTCTACTTTAAAGAGTCCTCTCCTGCTGATGTTCAGGTGTATATCAGTATGTAGTGTCTCTACTTTAAAGAGTCCTCTCCTGCTGATGTTCAGGTGTGTATCAGTATGTAGTGTCTCTACTTTAAAGAGTCCTCTCCTGCTGATGTTCAGGTGTATATCAGTATGTAGTGTCTCTACTTTAAAGAGTCCTCTCCTGCTGATGTTCAGGTGTGTATCAGTATGTAGTGTCTCTACTTTAAAGAGTCCTCTCCTGCTGATGTTCAGGTGTATATCAGTGTGTAGTGTCTCTACTTTAAAGAGTCCTCTCCTGCTGATGTTCAGGTGTATATCAGTATGTCGTGTCTCTACTTTAAAGAGTCCTCTCCTGCTGATGTTCAGGTGTATATCAGTATGTCGTGTCTCTACTTTAAAGAGTCCTCTCCTGCTGATGTTCAGGTGTATATCAGTATGTAGTGTCTCTACTTTAAAGAGTCCTCTCCTGCTGATGTTTAGGTGTATATCAGTATGTAGTGTCTCTACTTTAAAGAGTCCTCTCCTGCTGATGTTTAGGTGTATATCAGTATGTAGTGTCTCTACTTTAAAGAGTCCTCTGCTGCTGATGTTCAGGTGTATATCAGTATGTAGTGTCTCTACTTTAAAGAGTCCTCTCCTGCTGATGTTCAGGTGTATATCAGTATGTAGTGTCTCTACTTTAAAGAGTCCTCTCCTGCTGATGTTCAGGTGTATATCAGTATGTCGTGTCTCTACTTTAAAGAGTCCTCTCCTGCTGATGTTCAGGTGTATATCAGTATGTAGTGTCTCTACTTTAAAGAGTCCTCTCCTGCTGATGTTCAGGTGTATATCAGTGTGTAGTGTCTCTACTTTAAAGAGTCCTCTCCTGCTGATGTTCAGGTGTATATCAGTATGTAGCGTCTCTACTTTAAAGAGTCCTCTCCTGCTGATGTTCAGGTGTATATCAGTATGTAGTGTCTCTACTTTAAAGAGTCCTCTCCTGCTGATGTTCAGGTGTATATCAGTATGTAGTGTCTCTACTTTAAAGAGTCCTCTCCTGCTGATGTTTAGGTGTATATCAGTATGTAGTGTCTCTACTTTAAAGAGTCCTCTCCTGCTGATGTTCAGGTGTATATCAGTATGTAGTGTCTCTACTTTAAAGAGTCCTCTCCTGCTTATGTTCAGGTTTATATCAGTATGTAGTGTATCTACTTTAAAGAGTCCTCTCCTGCTGATGTTCGGGTGTATATCAGTATGTAGTGTCTCTACTTTAAAGAGTCCTCTCCTGCTGATGTTCAGGTGTATATCAGTATGTAGTGTCTCTACTTTAAAGAGTCCTCTCCTGCTTATGTTCAGGTTTATATCAGTATGTAGTGTCTCTACTTTAAAGAGTCCTCTCCTGCTGATGTTCAGGTGTATATCAGTATGTAGTGTCTCTACTTTAAAGAGTCCTCTCCTGCTTATGTTCAGGTTTATATCAGTATGTAGTGTATCTACTTTAAAGAGTCCTCTCCTGCTGATGTTCGGGTGTATATCAGTATGTAGTGTCTCTACTTTAAAGAGTCCTCTCCTGCTGATGTTCAGGTGTATATCAGTATGTAGTGTCTCTACTTTAAAGAGTCCTCTCCTGCTGATGTTCAGGTGTATATCAGTATGTAGTGTCTCTACTTTAAAGAGTCCTCTCCTGCTGATGTTCAGGTGTATATCAGTATGTAGTGTCTCTACTTTAAAGAGTCCTCTCCTGCTGATGTTCAGGTGTATATCAGTATGTAGTGTCTCTACTTTAAAGAGTCCTCTCCTGCTGATGTTCAGGTGTATATCAGTATGTAGTGTCTCTACTTTAAAGAGTCCACTCCTGCTGATGTTCAGGTGTATATCAGTATGTAGTGTCTCTACTTTAAAGAGTCCTCTCCTGCTGATGTTCAGGTGTATATCAGTATGTAGTGCCTCTACTTTAAAGAGTCCTCTCCTGCTGATGTTCAGGTGTTAATCAGTATGTAGTGTCTCTACTTTAAAGAGTCCTCTCCTGCTGATGTTCAGGTGTATATCAGTATGTAGTGTCTCTACTTTAAAGAGTCCTCTCCTGCTGATGTTCAGGTGTATATCAGTATGTAGTGTCTCTACTTTAAAGATTCTCTCCTGCTGATGTTCAGGTGTATATCAGTATGTAGTGTCTCTACTTTAAAGAGTCCTCTCCTGCTGATGTTCAGGTGTATATCAGTGTGTAGTGTCTCTACTTTAAAGAGTCCTCTCCTGCTGATGTTCAGGTGTATATCAGTATGTAGAGTCTCTACTTTAAAGAGTCCTCTCCTGCTTATGTGTGTATATCAGTATGTAGTGTCTCTACTTTAAAGAGTCCTCTCCTGCTGATGTTCAGGTGTATATCAGTATGTAGTGTCTCTACTTTAAAGAGTCCTCTCCTGCTGATGTTCAGGTGTATATCAGTATGTAGTGTCTCTACTTTAAAGAGTCCTCTCCTGCTGATGTTCAGGTGTATATCAGTATGTAGTGTCTCTACTTTAAAGAGTCCTCTCCTGCTGATGTTCGGGTGTATATCAGTATGTAGTGTCTCTACTTTAAAGAGTCCTCTCCTGCTGATGTTCGAGTGTATATCAGTATGTAGTGTCTCTACTTTAAAGAGTCCTCTCCTGCTGATGTTCGGGTGTATATCAGTATGTAGTGTCTCTACTTTAAAGAGTCCTCTCCTGCTGATGTTCGAGTGTATATCAGTATGTAGTGTCTCTACTTTAAAGAGTCCTCTCCTGCTGATGTTCAGGTGTATATCAGTATGTCGTGTCTCTACTTTAAAGAGTCCTCTCCTGCTGATGTTCAGGTGTATATCAGTATGTAGTGTCTCTACTTTAAAGAGTCCTCTCCTGCTGATGTTCAGGTGTATATCAGTATGTAGCGTCTCTACTTTAAAGAGTCCTCTCCTGCTGATGTTCAGGTGTATATCAGTATGTAGCGTCTCTACTTTAAAGAGTCCTCTCCTGCTGATGTTCAGGTGTATATCAGTATGTAGCGTCTCTACTTTAAAGAGTCCTCTCCTGCTGATGTTCAGGTGTATATCAGTATGTAGTGTCTCTACTTTAAAGAGTCCTCTCCTGCTGATGTTCAGGTGTATATCAGTATGTAGTGTCTCTACTTTAAAGAGTCCTCTCCTGCTGATGTTCAGGTGTATATCAGTGTGTAGTGTCTCTACTTTAAAGAGTCCTCTCCTGCTGATGTTCAGGTGTATATCAGTATGTAGCGTCTCTACTTTAAAGAGTCCTCTCCTGCTGATGTTCAGGTGTATATCAGTATGTAGTGTCTCTACTTTAAAGAGTCCTCTCCTGCTGATGTTCAGGTGTATATCAGTATGTAGTGTCTCTACTTTAAAGAGTCCTCTCCATGCTTTAATGTTCAAAAAGCTCTTTATTTGTCTCATCCTGTCTGTGTTGCAGCTCCTCTTTTCGCCCTCTGTCTGAAACCAGAGCCCAGTCTGCTCTGATTGGTTAGCTGGCCAGCTCTGTTGTGATTGGTCAACCACTTAGAGATGTCCTGCCCCTTAGCCTATCACGTACAATGTGAGGCCAACACAGGGATTGTAGCCTCTGCAGACCATTTGCATGCACTAACACCTAAACATACAGGAGAGGGAACAGAAAGAAGGAATGGTGTCTCTGTGAGAATCTGAAAAGTACATACAAAGTAATGTAGTGAAGTAAAAAGTACAACCTTTGCCGACACAATATAGTAGACTAGAATCATAACGTTGCATAAAAAGGAAATCCTCAAGTAAAATACCTGTAGTTTGTACTTAGTCACCATTCAGGTTCAAAAGTCCCGATAAAAAAGTGACATAATTTCAATTTAGGAGCAGATCAAAGTCAGTATTTACCTTTGAAGTTGGATCAGCTCCTGCTCTCTGTAATCTGCCCCAAGAAGCTTTTCAAACCAAAAACCACCAAAAGGAATCAGGAGAGTTATTCCATCTCAGTGTAAGTCATCTGTTGTCTTCGGGCTGGTTTCAAAGTACAAGCTTTTTAAAAGAAATCCTCCCACAGGGGAATCGTTCAAGAGCGGAGTTAAAGAAATAAATCAGTTTTCAGAAACGACTGAAAACTTTGTCCTGCAGAGAGACGGCTCTAAAAACACTGCAGAGAGGAAACGCTGAAAACCAGAGGGGAGGAAGACATGGGGAGAAATGACCCTCTGCATGGAGGGAGAGAGAGAGGGAGAGGCAGAGAGAGAGGGGGCGAGTCTGCAGGAAGCATCGCCCTCTGCTAACTGAGGCCTGCAGGGGGGAGGAGGGGGAGAAAAATGTTTCAACTTCCCCTGCCAGCTGTTGAGTCCCACGATACAGTCTGAGACCTCTGTATGTGTGTGTGTGTGTGTGTGTGTGTGTGTGTGTGTGTGTGTGTGTGTGTGTGTGTGTGTGTGTGTGTCCGACCGGCTCATATGTTCTGGTTCTTCTCGCAGCTCCTCATAGCAGAGCATCTACACCGCAAGACACAGAGTTATTCAAATGTTCCTAATATCAGATGTTACTGTTATGTGTCCTCCTGCAGTCACTAACAGAGGAAGCTGTGAAACATCCCATCACCTCAGCTGACAATGGTCTCAACAAAACTCACTGTTTACATGCTGCTATTTTCTAGAAATTCTGAAAGTCTACAAATCTGACTTTATTAAAAAAAATAGCCAAATTCAGACTTTTTTCTAAATATTCAGATTTTTTTCCCCAGAATTCTGCCTTTTTTCTGACAATATTTTTACTTTGACCTGAAAATCTCAAAATTCGGACTTTTCAAAAAAATAATCTGACTTTTACTCAAAAGTTGTCTGGCTGTGTTTAATCTGTTGACGTGTTGTCGTGTTGTTGCGTTGGCGTGTTGTTGGTGTGTTGGCGCATCGTTGCGTTGGCGCATTGCTGTGTTGGCGCGTTGGCGTGTTGTTGCGTTAGCGTGTTGTTGCGTTGGCGTGTTGTTGCGTTAGCGTGTTGTTGCGTTAGCGTGTTGTTGCGTTGGCGTGTTGTTGCGTTGGCGTGTTGTTGCGTTGGCGTGTTGTTGCGTTGGCGTGTTGTTGCGTTGGCGTGTTGTTGCGTTAACGTGTTGTTGCGTTGGCGTGTTGTTGCGTTGGCGTGTTGTTGCGTTGGCGTGTTGTTGCGTTGGCGTGTTGTTGCGTTGGCGTGTTGTTGCGTTGGCGTGTTGTTGCGTTGGCGTGTTGTTGCGTTAGCGTGTTGTTGCGTTGGCGTGTTGTTGCGTTGGCGTGTTGTTGCGTTGGCGTGTTGTTGCGTTAACGTGTTGTTGCGTTAGCGTGTTGTTGCGTTGGCGTGTTGTTGCGTTGGCGTGTTGTTGCGTTGGCGTGTTGTTGCGTTGGCGTGTTGTTGCGTTGGCGTGTTGTTGCGTTGGCGTGTTGTTGCGTTGGCGTGTTGTTGCGTTGGCGTGTTGTTGCGTTAACGTGTTGTTGCGTTAACGTGTTGTTGCGTTAGCGTGTTGTTGCGTTGGCGTGTTGTTGCGTTGGCGTGTTGTTGCGTTGGCGTGTTGTTGCGTTGGCGTGTTGTTGCGTTGGCGTGTTGTTGCGTTGGCGTGTTGTTGCGTTGGCGTGTTGTTGCGTTGGCGTGTTGTTGCGTTGGCGTGTTGTTGCGTTGGCGTGTTGTTGCGTTGGCGTGTTGTTGCGTTGGTGTGTTGATGGGTTGATGTGTTGTTGTGTTGAGTTGTGTTGCTGTGTCAGATCTGGCCCTTCAGTCAGGAGGACTTCCTGTTGTCTCTCGATGAAACGGGCCACACCTGACCTCGGTGCTGAAAGGGGCTGGGGCTGTACAGGTGGGGCTTCTTCATGGCTCTGAAATACAGGTAACCTTTACCTGAGCCCTTTCCCATTTCTCTAATTTCCGATTGTTTACAATCTGACAGCTGAAAGCGAAGGAAAGCCCTCTGAGTCCGGCCTCATATGGCTATGTGATCATACCATGTGCCTGCCTGGGTCAATCTGTCCCCGTTTTTAAATATGCTTTAAAAACACATAGCAAGGGGAAATAAAATTGTAACAAAGTTGATGTTTCAATGGCGTGGTGCTTCGCAGCAATACAATTATTGTAACCTGAGCGTTAGCATTTAGTGTTAGCAGCTTCATTCTTCTTCTACTACTTCTTCTTCTTCTCCTTCTTCTTATATGTAATTGCCCGCGAAATGTTGCATGAAGCACTCGTTTCAGTGTGAACTCATTCCACAGTATGACCTCAAAAGTGTTTTAAACCGAGTACGTTTTTATTATTTATGTTCTATATTGCTAAGTGTGTGATTACACATTTTACGTATTTTGGAAAATTGATTTTGAGTTTTCTCATGGCAGTTAGAGTATAGGGGACAAACCAGGGGATTTATCTCCCTCTTGACACCGTCGGTTATTTACAAAAAAACACCTAAATATACTTGTTATTGTGCTTCTGTCTTTCTGTGTCTTTTCATCTGTAAACTCCCTCACCCTCTCGCTCTTCTCTTGATCGCCCTCTCAGGAGAACACTTCACTGTCCGCTGCATTGTAGGATTTCTGCCATGTCTCTACTTTAGTTTGACCATCTCTGTTATTAAGTTATGGAATACTAAATAAATAAGTAATTAGATACCTTACTGTTACTGCGCTCATAAAGAATGATAAGAATAAGAATAATGCGTATTGAACTGGTTTCATTCATTTGTGAGTTTATTTAAAGTGGACCTATCATGCTATATTTGAATAATATAGTGTAGGACCATACCTATATAAGGCATATTTATACTTTTTTTTTTTCAAAATACCAAACAGATCATGCATTTTAGCCATGCCTCATTTTGCTCAATCTGACAATTTAAAGCTCTGTTTTAGCAAGGGCAGATTCAGTGAGAACAGCACCATCTACAGGCCTGGCATATGTACTACAGCGTCTCCAGCGCTTTCGAACGGCAATGGCCGTGGCTGTCTCCTCCTGATTGGTGGAGTTGGCCCAATAGCCGTAGCGCCACCGTCCTGACGTCAGGACAGTGTTCAAATCTGGATCAGTTTTTATCAGATCTGTTGCAGCCCCTTTTTTAGAGATTTGGGTATGGAGGAAAATAGAGAGGGTTGTGTTTTCTGACACTTGGTGAGTTCCCTGGAACACCGGGGACACATAATCATGTATAAAAGACGTAGACGTATTTAGCATGATAGGTCCCCTTTAAGGTAATTAGTTAAAGCCCTATTTTATCAGTATGTCTGCACAGCAGTTACAATGGTCAAAATACATTCAAACAGAATTGTCCACATTCTTCTTTAATAGTTACTAACAACATTAGATATTTTAATGAGATATGGACCGCAAAACTCAAAATGTGCCTTGTTTTCATTTTAAAAATCAAGTCACCGAATGCAATTAGTCGCCTTAGCTTATTTAGTTATGAGATGATGATGTGAATTGCTGTTCAAATTAATTAATGTAATAATCGTTTGGTTTCTTTTACATTAAAAACAAGTTATAATTTTCAAAAGGTCTTTTTTCGGGGGGGGAGGCCCTTTTTCCAATCTAGAGCAATAGCCCCTCCAAATGTCTGTACTCGTCCCTGCACTGATGGGTCCTCCGCGGATGTATTTCCGGCAACAGTGATGTTTAAAAGAGTCGTGACCATAGACTGTATATATAAATGGACGTAGTGTCCGTGACGTCACCCATAGGATTCTGCAGAGTTGCTGAGAAGCCCTTAGTAGGCGGAGTCGGCCGCTGCCGTCTCAACAATGAAGTCAGAGTCTAAAGGCACGGACACACCAGGCCGATTATCGGCGTCGGTGGGCGTCAGGCCGACGATGAGCGTCGACACGCCCTACTCAGATTGGTGTGTCCCGCACCGTCGGGTCTTTTCAGCCGTGCCGACGCCTTTTCGGCCGAAAACCGTTGGCCAAAGGCAGTCGGCAAAAGAAATCACTCTGATTGGCTGTTCAGCTAGCGAATCAGTGCATGAGAAGCGAAATGGAAGTGAGGGACCCAAACAAACTATAAAGAAGGCAAATCTGAGATTTCATTTAACTCCAGCTCTCGACACAGGTTGGGGAAAGCCCCGTGAGCTTCTCGCTGTAGAGTGAAAATGGAACGCACACGCTATTTGTTGTTTGTTTATATCACGCCGTCTGTTCTTCTTCTCTCGGTGTATCACGCAGTCTGTCTTCAGGTTGTTGCCTCTTTTGAATGACGAATACACACTACCGCCGCCTGCTGGTAAGGAGAGTTATTGCCACTCACGCATGCGCAGTTCGTACGTGCTTCTCGGCCGTTGGCTGAAGTCTTTGCGGTGTGTTCCAGTGCGACACATGGCCAAGACGCAGAGATGCGAGGCGACGCAACAGTCAGGGCCCGTCTGTGTCAGTTCTTTGGTGTCAGATTGGTGTGTCCGGGCCTTAACTCCCGCCTGATCCAAATAAGGGCAAAGACGCAGAGCCGAGGCAGCATAAGATAAGTCCGATATTTAAATGAAGAATACTCCATCAATCAATCAATCAATCAATGTTTATTTATATAGCCCAATATCACAAATGTTACATGTGTATCAGTGGACTTCACAGTTTGTACAGAATATCAGTATGACAATACGACGCCCTCTGTCCTTAGACCCTCTGTCCTTAGACCCTCACATCGTACAAGGAAGAACTTCCAGAGAAAACCCACAGTTTAAAGGAACATGGGAGAAACCTCAGGGAGAGCAACAGAGGAGGGATCCCTCTGTAGCCACTGAATTTCTTAATATTACTGAATCTTTTCATTTCAAGCAACATGTTTCTGGCGCCACTCACGTGGGTGGTCATACCTTAGACCTTGTTTTTTCTCTGGGACTAGATGTTGATCACATCCGTTGTGAGGATCTACTGATCAGTGATCATAAATGTATTTTCTTTAATCTATCTGTAAAAACCGACCCCATGTGCCTCAAAACATCATTACGTCGTTCACGCATTATTACACAGAGTACAGCTGATCAGTTCGCAGCTCACTTTTGCTGTGATAATAACACTAACATGATCGATGTAGAGCGTTTAATACATGTCCAGCATTGCTGCACATTGCTGGACATAGTGGCACCACTAAAGGATAGGACTATAGCTATCTGCAATACTTCTCCATGGATAACGGACGCTGTCTGCTGCCTGAGGCGGAAGTGTCGCAGGACAGAACGACTATGGAAAACCACTGGGCTGGAAGTGCATCGCCTTTATCTCAAAGATCTAAGATTGTCTTTTAATGCATTAGTAAAAGAAGCCCGGACTGCTTACTTTGCTAAGTTAATAACTTCTTCAAAGAAAAATCCCAAGATCCTATTTGACACAATTAATAACATTGTTTCACCACCACTAACTACATTACCATGTCTTTCGAATAATGACTGTAACAAGTTCCTTATCTTCTTTGTAGATAAGGTAGCCTCTATTAGGTCCAGTATTAATCCTGGGATTTCACTGCCCAACTCTAGCCCCTCTCCATCCCATTCTGTTCTTGGCTCCTTTGAACCTATCAACTCACAAGACCTGATGGATTTAATTAGGAAAATGAAGCCATCTTCGTGCCCTCTGGATGTAATACCGACTTCCCTATTTTGCAGCATCTCCCTGGTCCAATGGGATTTCTCCATGTGATTTTGGTGTGTGTGTGTGTGTGTGTGTGTGTGTGTGTGTGTGTGTGTGTGTGTGTGTGTGTGTGTGTGTGATTTAGCCAGGGTTTAATTGTTTTTAAAGGCAATGAAATGTTACATATTTGATAATAATGTGTGTTCTGTTTTATTCTCAACTTTTTTGTATAGAGAGGCGAAGTCCCTCCGTTTCCGGTTGAGCTCCATGGGATCTTATTTCAGAAAAAGTATGTATTGAAGTCAATGGAGAGAGAAAGATTATCTTTTGAACCCGTTTGAATTGTGCCACGAATTACACATATGATGTTTGTCAATTTAAAAGATAATTTTACAAGTCAAAAAAAAAAAAATGTGTTGTAAAACTGTGAAGTAACACTTTTGTTGTGTGAAACCGCTCAATGAACTCCATCTCCCGTCTCGCACCACACACCCAGACGGCCGTCACGTTGGCACATTTCACTTCTTTCTTTCAGAATGAGGCGGAAAGTATTAAAAGAGGTGAAAATCACTCCAAAAATAAGGTCCCATGAGTCCCACCGGAAGGGGAGTGACTTCGCCTCTCTATTTATTTATACATTCATTATATTTTTTCCATATTAATTTATGCATTTATTTATTCCTGTATTTATTCATGTTCATGCTAAAACCATGCGTGTGCCTCTCCACCTCTGTTCCCTACTTCTTACCTACTACTCTTTTCCCTCAACCTATCCTAAGGGAGTGCATGTACGTAGACACGTTGTGCCTCTCCACCTCTGTTCCTTACTTCTTACTTTCTACCCCTTATCCCTCAACCTATCCTAAGGGAGTGCATGTACGTAGACACCTTAGTTTAGCTGCTATAGGCTTAGACTGTCGGGGGACACCTTACTTCTTCCTTCTGTCTGTCTGTACCTGTGTACTCCCATGTTCCGATTAACCCAGCCTCCCCCAATTTCTTTTTTGTGTCTATATCTACGCCGGGATCCTGAGTCGTGTCTGAACCTGTCTCTGCGGTCCTGCCTGACTCTCATCATGCTACTTCCCTGATGGCTCCCACAGGATTGTTGACATCCTCGTGGATTCATCTTCTTATTATAGACACATGCATTTCCAAACATCCGGTCTACCTACACTGTAAAATGTATTATCTCTTCGATTTACACACGGCATCTATTGCACGTCTGTCCGTCCTGGGAGAGGGATCCCTCCTCTGTTGCTCTCCCTGAGGTTTCTCCCATGATCCTTTAAACTGTGGGTTTTCTCTGGAAGTTTTTCCTTGTACGATGTGAGGGTCTAAGGACAGAGGGTCTAAGGACAGAGGGTGTCGTTTTCTCATACTGATATTCTGTACAAACTGTGCTGTTGTATTTGTTGTAAAGTGTCTTTATTGTAAAGTATTTTTACTGTATGTACAGCACTTTGGCTCGACCAAAAATCGTTTTAAAAATGGATTTGATTTGAAAAACTAAAAATCGATAAATATGGCATATATGACGTTTGTCCGTTTACTGGTTTGACAGAAAGGCAATTCAAACGAAGGTATACTATCACATTTGAACTATATTAAAATGTCTTTATTTAAAAAATCATTTGAAATAAAGCCACCTAACCGGTTGTGACGTTCCTATAATGATCACGTGATTTTGTTTCGGAGGGATTCGGGACATCTCGTAAGATCTCGTTTCTCCCTTTAAAACAGCGAGACTTTACCGAAGGCGTCACCGCTGCTGCAGCTAAAGGAGCTAACGGAGCTAACGCTGCTTCTTTCACACAGTCTCTAAACACGATGGACGGCAGGAGCTACGCGTCTGGTGAGTGTTCACTAACATGCTTTAAAACTCTATCATGTGGCTCAAATAACATATTTAGTATTAGCTTTACAGGTAGCCGCTGTGTGTAAATATGTAGCCGATAGCTTGTTAACTACCAACTGGCTGTAGCTTCAGACAAAGAAGCTAACAGTTAGCTACTTGTTGTTTAATATAATTTATTTCAGAACAAACAAAGCATACACACTCAAAATGTCAACAAAGAAACGTAAGCTAGCTTAGCCACCTCGCTGTTGAATTCAGGACTATTATTGGGAATGGAGTATTTTAAGGAAACATTTGTACTTTACTTAAGAGCACATTAATGAGAGAATAAAGCTGTAATATCAGCTAACTGTTAGCTAGCTGCTAAGTATCTAACATATTCCAATGGGATCTTGTAGTTAAATATAATTTATTTAAGAACAAACGAGGCCTATAAGCTAATATTAACAAAGTAACGTTAGTTAGCTTAGCCACATTTCCTTCAGGCTGTTTCATTGTTTTTCTGCTAAATTAGTTTCTGTTTTTTGTTAAATGCTTTGCTAAAGCTGGTCAATTTGGTTCAAATGGTGTCAGGGGGGGTGGGGGTGACTTTGTATTGCTAGTTATTAAAATGGCCACTTTTTCCCCCCTAAAATGCCTCCAAAACACAGGTAGTCGTGACATCATACTGAAATGTATTTATATAGGATAAACCATCTCGTTTTCAAAGGGGTTCAACACATATTACCCGAGGAAGAAGTACTCAGATCTTGTACTTCAGTGAAAGTAGAAGTACTCCGACCTTGTTCTTGAGTAAAAGTAGAAGTACCAGAGTGTAGGAATACTCTGGTACAGTAAAAGTCCTGCATTCAAAATGTTCCTCAAGTGAAAGTAGAAAAGTATTCTCATCAAAATATAGTGAAAGTAGAGACAGTAAAAGTAGTCATTGTGCAGATTGGTCCATTTCAGAATAATATATATGATATGTTTTATAATGATTGATCATGAAAGTGTTCTCAAAGCTGGTAAAGGTGCAGCTAGTTTGAATGACTTTGTATACTGCAGGGTAGCTTGTGGATTTACTCCAGGTGGAACTAAAGTCTGATTTAACACTTGATTATATTTCACATCATTCATCCACATCTGTGAAGTAACTAAAGGTATTAAATACATGTAGTGGAGGAAAAGTACACCATCTACCTCTGAACTGTAGAGGAGGAGAAGTACACAGTAGCGTAACATGGAAATACTCAATGGAAAAGTAAAAGTACCTCAAAATTGTACTTGAGTACAGTACTTGTTAGTGAGCTATACATTACACAGCGAGGAGTCGTGTAGGTACATCAGAGATTATTGATGAGGGGTTGGAGGTCCGTTTTGGATTCGAGCCATGGGCCCAAATATTTTTATATTAATGTGAAGCCATTACAACCATTGCCTGATAAGGATCTGTAGAAAAATAAACATTCAAATCATTTTTTTTTACTTGATCCCTTTTAGATTTGGCTTTATCTAAATGACCAACAAACCTGATTTACTTAAAATTCTTCTATGTTAAATTGGTGTTATGTTTACTAAACCAATATGTCTTTCCCTTTTATAGGTTACTCCAGTTGGGGAGGTGGCGGGTCCGGCAGCAGAGGTAAGGAAACAAGTGAATTTAGGCCCCGGCCACACGGAGACTAAAACAAACCATAGTCGATGCCAAGAAAGTCTTCCATCCACACGGAATCGGCTCAAGAAACGTGTCCGTCCACACGAGACCACTCGGCCCGCTGGAGACGCTGTAGTACATATGCCGGGCCTGTAAGTGGCGCTGTACTAATGCCACAAAATACACCAAAAGCAGCGAATAAGACCCCCCGTGCCTGGTTGCCCTTCTGGTTATTCTCCGCGGTGGATTTAGCAACATGTAGTTCTCCATGTCCACTTGTTGCTGATGGTTGTGGTCGAGGACCTGTAGATTTTGCACTAACATCATGGCCAGTAGCGTCTGGAGCATGAAAGCAACCCTGTGAGCCGCCGTTGTTGTTGTTGGCGAAACACCTCAGCAATGACGCAGGGGTGAGCAGCAGAGGTGGGGCGGGGCTATGGCGTCATCGTTATCAGGAAATTATCCTATAGGGCGTACACACGGAGCCGTTTGGCCCCCCAGAGCGTTTCGTCCGCAGATCTACCCACCTTGGGAGCCGTTATCCTTATCCGCGTTTCCGTGTGGACGAACGTCTATCTATACGACAGAACTGTAGCGGATACAACCCGGTTCGTCTCCATGTGGCCGGGGCCTTAATATTAGTAGGGCTCTAAGATGTTGTATAAAAAAAAATAACCTTTGCTATCAATTCTCCAAGGGTCACCACATGATATGTACAGTTGCATAAAGTATTGTGCATTAGTGCATAAAGGGGAGATTAAATAGTAAGTCTAGTAGTCTCCACAATACTTGAATGCGCTCAGGAGGACTGTGACCGAGGGTCTTCGTCTGTGTCATAACGTCAGTTCATCAGTAACTGTGACGTAGCTTCTGCAGTCCTACAGTTGGTTCTTAAAGCCACCACTGTGTACTGACACAAAGACGATTGGTGGTCAAAATAAAGTGTATTTTCTTCTCTTTGTCAGGTTCTGGTGGCTTCGACCTGTATGGAGGGGGCTATAAAGACATGTCCGGGCTGGGGAGCTACGGAGGAGGAGGTGGAGGAGGAGGGGGCCATATGAAGAGGGGGCTTTCAGGAACCTCCCTGACCTCCTCCACAGGAACACATGCAGATGCAGTCATTGCCAAAATCAACCAGCGTCTGGACATGCTGACTCAGCTGGAGGGGGGGCTGAAAGGGTCCCGCGGCGACAGGTAAGAACTGTTCTTCATCAGTCAGAAAACACTCCATCCAGGCCAGGTAGAGCAGAGTAAGAACTGTTCTTCATCAGTCAGAAAACACTCCATCCAGGCCAGGGAGAGCAGAGTAAGAACTGATCTTCATCAGTTAGAAAACACTCCATCCAGGCCAGGGAGAGCAGAGTAAGAACTGATCTTCATCAGTTAGAAAACACTCCATCCAGGCCAGGTAGAGCAGAGTAAGAACTGTTCTTCATCAGTCAGAAAACACTCCATCCAGGCCAGGGAGAGCAGAGTAAGAACTGATCTTCATCAGTCAGAAAACACTCCATCCAGACCAGGGAGAGCAGAGTAAGAACTGATAATCACAACATCTACTAAAGCAGGATGATGATCACTATATAAACAAACAGGATATTTAGCAAAGGACCTAAACTAATTTTTTTTTTAAAGTTGACAAAAAGGCTTGCTTTAGATAAATCTGAAAACAGCTGTGACATGAGGCTTTTTGTAATTCAAAAATCACATATGTTTAGCCTTTATTTGAAATCTAAGGAACAGATCTTTTAAAATGTGTTTAATATCAAAGACTAAATCAATGTGGTTGTAATAGTTGAGGTAAGGTTGCTAGAGTACATTTTGCGACTTCACACGTGGGATGAGTTTCTGTGTCGCCTGAACGCCTCGCCGTGTGCAGAAGTGTTTCTCCTTTCCGTTTGTGTTTGTTTGTTTGCTGCCAAGAAAGAAGTCATAAACAATGCATGCCCCCCCCTCCCCCCCCCCTCGTTGGAGGTGCAGTTGTTTTATATCTCCATCCCAGCCCATCGGTACTGTGATCCATCCTCCATGTGTTCTGGCTTCAGGTTACACAAGAGGGAAGTGTACAGGCATCATGATAGTCAAAGCTGCTGTATCTACAAAGAACTCTAGATTATGTCCCCCCCATGTTGAGTATATCCCCTCTGGCCCTGGTCTCCAGACCCCCCCCCCCCAGTTCTGAAGGTTTCCAACAAACTGCATCCCCATATCTGCAGCGTTTGACCTCCAGCTGAGCGTTTGCAAGAGAAATCATTACTTTGTGATAAAGATGTGCACAGGGTCATCATCGGGGTCTGGTGTAATGTGGGGTGGGGGGACATTACATTTCATTTAGCTGACGCTTTTAGCCCAAAGCGACTTTGGAACATTAAACCAATGAGGAGCAGACTCAGAGGTTCACTTCCTGTCTGTAAACCCCACCAGGTTTAAGAAGAAGGGAGGAGGCAGGAGGAGCCGGAGCAGAAGCCCCCCCCTGCCTCCCTTCCCTCCACCAACCCTCTCCCTCCCTCCCGCAGGTTTGACCACTACGAGTCTTTCGACTCTCGCTCCCCCGCCCTTCCCCCCTCCCGAGATCTCTACAGATCCTCTGCTGGGAGCTATGGTTACGATGGCCGCGAGGATGGGATGCTGAGTCAGAGAGGAAACTCCGGCTTTGGGGGTGTTGTTGGTCTGGGAGGGGGGGGCGGAGGCTTTGACAGCCCCTCCACATCCTATTCTTCCTGTGGAGTCGCCAAAATGCGACAGAATATGAGGGAGTCGATCAACCAGGGAGGAGGAGGAGGAGGAGGAGGAGGAGGAGGCGGGGGGGGCTGGACAGGGCGCCGCTCCCCCAGAAGGGGTGGAGGAACAGGAGGGTTTGCAAACCGCAGGTCGGACCCCCCTCCGTTAGGCGGGGGTGGGCGAGGGGGGGGGAGACTCTCCTCCTCTCCGGGGGGGGGTCGAGGCAAGCTGCCCTCCCTCCTGGCCAGCCGCATGTACCCTGAGAGCGGGGGCTTCCAGCAGCAAGACATCCCCGGGAGGCACTTTGGAGGGGGGCCGCGGGCCGGCCGGCAGCGGGGCCGCAAGAGACCCCTCAACAAAGTAAGTAAGATGAATAAAGCCCTCCTCAGACAGGAAGTAAAGCCCGCTCTGATTCCCCCCCCCCCCCAAGAGAAAGCCCAAAGTGTTACTTTCTGCAAACTGTCCCGACTCACATTAGGTCTTCACTCCCCCCACCAGTTAGATGATAACGTTCACTTATATTATTTAGCGCCTTTCATGAAACCCAAGGACGCTTTACAATAGGACAAAACGGAAAACACAACATGGACCCCCCTCATTGTCCAAATCGTATTCTTGTTGGGGGCCGTGATGAAACATTCCCTTTTTGTTTTGACCTGACAGAGTTAAGATAAGGCTAACAGAACTGCTTTTATTTGTAACTTGTTGTTAAAGTGGGGGGGGGCTTCTTCCTGCAAACTGTCCCGACTCACGGTAGAGCTTCACTTGAAGGAGAGTAGTTGTAAAAGGATCCCCCCCCTCCATTCATCTGACGCGGCTGTGGGTGATCCAGGTCTAAAGTGAAGGGCGGCCCCCCCCCCCTAAACCTGTAGTCGACTAATTGGTCTTTCCAATCTAAGTAGAATTCTGAAAATGTCTTTTTAATCAAAGTTAATTTCCTAGCTGTCATTTCCCAACACAATCCCAGATGGCAAAGATAGAGGTTTGTTTTAATGTTCAAACGTGAAGGGGGTCGAAGCTGCCGTAACACAAAACAAATAGGTTTAAACGATATTCAAACACACAGGATCTAACATTTGTCTCAGGGGCTTCACAGATTATACAGAATACGACCCCCTCACATCGGACAGTTACCCCCCCCTCTAACTCCCCCACAGACTTAACTAATCTGCCTCCTTTTGTACAGTAGCGCCAAGTGGCCTGGGGCTGAGGAGAGGTTTTTATTTCTTTTGCCCCCACCTCGGGCAGATTTAGAAAGTGACCAATAATGATCTCTTATAGCTTACAAGAGGCAACCGTTGTCTTAGCGTAAAAGCAGTTTTTACTAACAATCTGCTTTATTCTTATTACTTATGCAAATTAAATGTTGATAGCTGTAGAAATGTCAGTATTAAATAATGGTACCAGAGAGCACAGGATGTAGCTTAACATGCTAATACTGACGGACATCGAGGAGTCTTTGAGTTCTGGTTTTACAGCCCACTGCACGTTAGCGGTGTCAGAGTGCACGTTAGCGGTGTCAGAGTGCACGTTAACAGTGTTTCTTGCAGCAGGTGAAGCCTCAGAGGGAGATGCAGAAGAAGAGGAAGCAGACTCTCACGGCAGCAGATGAACCCGAGTCCAAGATGAACCGAACGGAGCCGGCAGAAACTAAACCAGGTAAACAAACGCCTGAAGAGATGCTTTGGCCCTCGGCTACTTCTAAAAGCATAATGTGCTTCAGTAGTTTTCATGTGTTAACGAGCTTTAAACATTTTCTAACAGATCTTAGTTGATACAAAAACAAACTTATTTCCATAACGAGCTTTAAATAAATCTTCATATTTCCCCTCATTATAATCAATCTGAGGATCTGTTGTAAGGCAAACGGGACGAAGTAAACCCTCTGGAGAGCTGGGATGTTTCTCAAAGCTTATTCAAGACTAATCGACCTTATGAGGCAATAGAGTGGTGCAGGAATGAGTCCTAAACCCAGGAAGTGAGTCAGCATTTCACCACTTCCTGTTCCCTCGTCTCAGAGCCAATGGGATCTCTCCATAGGATGTTTGGAAATAAGGGGTGTTTCTCAATGTCGAGTAAAGCTGCTTCAGAGCCACTATTTCAAGCATGCTACGTCATCGAGTGCCGCCGAAGTACTGTTCCAATCTCCAGCATACTTGGAAATCTACCGAGCCCGGCGTACTCCGTTTGGAGAAATATCGAGGCTGCACATGAGTAGACTCCGCGGTCTTAAAATCCCCACAATGCTTTGCGCACGGACCAATTTCCCCAAATCTGTGGCGGAAGATGTAAGAGGCGGGGCCTCTCATATGACGCACACCTGCACACTTGCTAGCCTGTTCCACTCTTTGTTTTCCGAATGGCAGGAAGTATTCTTGACTCGCTTCTGAAGCAAGTGACTCGGAAGACATGTGCTACCAAGCAAGCGTACTCGACATTGAGAAACACCCAAGGTCTGTGGTTGAGACACATTGAAGAGACGGGTCACGTTTTGTTCTAGGACATTAAATCCATCAGCAGTGACCCCACTGGTGATTTCTGAAGAGTTGACGTGTCTGAAAAACGATGGTTGTTACCAAGTGGCTGAATAGGACTACAGAAGTCGTGGAGGACGTTGTACGTCATTACGCCGAACACGTAAACACTCCTCTAAGTTAGTTTGCCCTGTTCTGCTTGAAAGCAAGTCCCTGCCTCCTGCAGACTGTTCAAACAAACTCTTCAACTCGTACCATTTAGAATCTGTGTGTTTGAATATGGATCTGAAGTTGGCGTGACGTTGAAGTCGTGCTGCTGGACTCGCCTGTAGTTCCTTTATAGCATCACGTTAGCATTTAGCTTCTGGAGATTAGAGTTATGATTAGAACATTATAAAAGTAGACGTGTGGAGATTATCCAGCTGAACAAAGCATTTATCAAACAGGTTTGTTTCCACAGATCTTATTTCCAGATCTTTTCCTAAATCCTATGGAGAGATCCCATTGGCTCTGAGACCAGGGAACAGGAAGTGGTGAAATGCTGACTCACTTCCTGGTTTTAGGACTCACTCGATAACCCTCCCCTCTAGTGGGGGTCCAGCCCTTCAGATGTTTCTCTGTGTGGCCCTCAGTGAGAACAGTTCGGACCCCCTTGATGTACATGGTTGTCCACAGCTTGACGTGCTTTGTTTCCGTAGAGCCAGCCGAGAACAACGGTGACGACAGTGAAGCGAAACCTGCAGTGGAGGTGAGGAGAAAGAAAGCATTTGATCCTGCTATATCAGTGTTTCTCAAAGTGTGGCCCCCCCTAGTGGTCCGTCAGTATATTGGTACAATTTCACATTTAATAAATAATAAATTCAAAGTGTTTCTCAAATTGTTTAAAAATGACTAGTATAGGAGGTTTGAGAAACACTGCTATCAACACTTTGCCCCGTGGTTACTCTTAATGTTTGATCTGATTTAAATGTTTATCCATGTTTCTGAATAAAATAAGTAATGCAACATTGTTTTCCCCCAGCTCTTCAAAGCTCCTGTAGATGCAGATAACGGTAAGGACTATGAGCTCCACCCGTCTACACCTCTCACCCTCTCTCTTCAGTCTGTAATGCTTTACGTTTGCTCTCAGCTTCCCCAGAGCAGAAAGAGGAGAAGAGCCCGGCGGGGAAACAGAGCCCGAGCCCCGGCCAGGACAAACACCCCAAGATGAGGAAGAGGAGGGGCTTCCTGGAGAGGTGAGAGGAAATGTACAAATGATGCTTCGGCACCGGATCAACCTTCATCCTGACGGCACTCTCTCTACCAGAGCACCGTGTTCACTGGTGGAGACGCCGTGAACTCACTATGTACTAAAGCACTATCATGAGGGTCTAAAAGCTGAATCAATCATTCAGATCTACTTATTTTCTGTTGCTGGAAAATGGAAATAAAGATTTTTCATAAAAAAAAAGTTGATTTCAAGAATAAAACCGAGTATTTGTTTAATATGAGAATCATCGCTCGATCTGAAAGGTCTTTCCTGCTTCAGGGCCAGATCACGGAGACTCTTTTAGTTGACTTCATACATTATCATATACACATGTGATCATACTGTATACACATGTGATCATACTGTATACACATGTGATCATACACACATGTGATCATACTGTATACACATGTGATCATACTGTATACACATGTGATCATACACACATGTGATCATACTGTATACACATGTGATCATACTGTATACACACGTGATCATACACACATGTGATCATACTGTATACACATGTGATCATACTGTATACACACGTGATCATATACACATGTGATCATACTGTATACACATGTGATCATACTGTATACACACGTGATCATACACACATGTGATCATACTGTATACACATGTGATCATACACACATGTGATCATACTGTACACACATGTGATCATACTGTATACACATGTGATCATACACACATGTGATCATACTGTATACACATGTGATCATACACACATGTGATCATACTGTATACACATGTGATCATACACACATGTGATCATACACACATGTGATCATACACACATGTGATCATACTGTATACACATGTGATCATACTGTATACACACGTGATCATACACACATGTGATCATACTGTATACACATGTGATCATACACACATGTGATCATACTGTATACACATGTGATCATACACACATGTGATCATACACACATGTGATCATACACACGTGATCATACTGTATACACATGTGATCATACACACATGTGATCATACACACATGTGATCATACACACGTGATCATACTGTACACACATGTGATCATACACACGTGATCATACTGTATACACATGTGATCATACTGTATACACACGTGATCATACACACATGTGATCATACTGTATACACATGTGATCATACTGTATACACACATGTGATCATACTGTATACACACATGTGATCATACTGTATACACACATGTGATCATACTGTATACACACATGTGATCATACTGTATACACACGTGATCATACTGTATACACACGTGATCATACACACATGTGATCATACTGTATACACATGTGATCATACTGTATACACATGTGATCATACTGTATACACATGTGATCATATACACATGTGATCATATACACATGTGATCATACTGTATACACATGTGATCATACACACATGTGATCATATACACATGTGATCATACTGTATGCACATGTGATCATATACACATGTGATCATACTGTATACACACATGTGATCATACACACATGTGATCATACACACATGTGATGCTAACCAACACACTTTTAAATATATACTTTATAAGTTTATGGTGGAACAACTCGTTGACGCATCGGGCAGTCGGAGTCTACTTTTGGATTTAATTAGTTTATAACGCCCCTTAACCCTCCTGTTTTCCTCTCTCCTCTCTCACCTCTCTCTCCCCCCTCTTTCTCACCCCTCTCTCTGATTGTTGATTGTGTGTTTTTTAAACTTAATATGTGTAAATGTCTGATTGTGTGTATAGCATATACATATCTGAATATTGTATAATTTGACATTGGGGATTGTTGGTGAGGTCATTTCGATATCTCTGTCTGTACACACAGATTGACTTCAAAGTTGACTTTACTGTCCGCCTCCCCCTCAGGGTGATGTTCGCCTGCTCGGTGTGTAAGTTCCGCTCCTTCTATAAGGAGGAGATGGAGACTCACCTGGACAGCCGCTTCCACAAAGACCACTTCAAGTTCTTGTCCGGACAGCTGTCCAAGCCCACCACCGACTTCCTGCAGGTACACACACTCGTTTTCACTGCGCTCGTGCTCATAGTAATAGATTCAGTGAATTATAGCGCCTTTCAAGGGACCCAAGGCCACTTTACACGTTCTCTTTTGATGCAAGGAACATTTATTTATATGGCACCTTTCAACACAAGGCAATTTAAAGTGCTTTACAAACATGAAAGACATTAAGAGCATTGTTAGAAAACTCTCACTGGTCCCCGGCTTGAGCTTCAATCTCAGGATCCATGTATTTGTGATCCTCTCCAGAATGGAAGGAGTCATCACATACAGAGCATCAACTAGTTCCTGAACAGTGTCCTTCACATGCTGATATCCAAGAGAGGGAGTTACACAGTCACAAGATGGAGGAATAGAAAGCAGTATTCAATGTTTACTTCAGATTAGCCATGTATTGATTATCCTCTCAGGAATGACAATTCTGACTTTTTCTCAAAATATTCTGACTTTTTCTCCAAAATCACAAAATTCTGACTTTTTCTCCAAAATCGGACTTGTTCTCAAATCTCCAAAAATCATAATTTTCCTAAAAATTATGACTTTTTCTCAAAAATCACCACATTCTGACTTTTTCTCAATGTTTGACTTTCTCAAAAATTCTGACTTTTTCAAAAATTATGTCTTTTTCAAAAAATTCTGACTTTTTCTCAACAATTCTGACTTTTTCTCAACAATTCTGACTTTTTCTCAACAATTCTGACTTTTTCTCAAAATATTCTGACTTTTTCTCAAAATTCTGACTTGTTCTCCAAAATCTCCAAAAATCATAATTTTCCTAATAATTCTGACTTTTTCAAAAAATTGAATGTATTTGTATCCACGGTCTTTGTTGAAATAAATCCATAATACTCTAAAGTTACAGTGCCGTGTGAGATGTGAATATATCACAGCGGCACAAAGAAAAGTCTTCAGCCTGGATTTAAAAGTAGTTATGTTGCATGTTTTTATTTGATTGTATTTACTTGTTTAAAATGAGATGTGTCTTTAGGGCTCAATCTGCGATGGATTAAAATGCGCCTGGGCGTTTTTCTAAAGATGCTTTTAAAACATGAACCCCGTGCTGCACAGTCGAGTTATATACACGTTTGTTTTCATGACAAGCTAAGCTATCAGCATATGTAGCTACATGGATGTACGAATAGTTATGAGACCATAAATACAAAAGAAAAAACAAGACGAAAATGTTATCACTCAGAAATGTATTGAAATCCCACCGAGAGGAAATAGTTCTTCCCCGTCTCGGTGACCCTGGTTTCTTCTGCTGTCGACCCTCAGAGGGTTAACGTGCATTGTCTCCTCTTAAATAAATAAACACAAATATTTCAGACACCATTTTGAAGCCCTCACACATAGGCAAGTTTATTTATGCAGCACCTTTCAACACAAGGCAATTCAAAGTGCTTTACAAACATGAATACAAGTTGCAGTGTGAGATGTGAATAGTTCCTGTAAAGGGCTGCACGATGAAGCCACGTGTGATTATTTGTGACTGTTCTCACCCCTCATGGATAAACTGAAAGACTTTGTTTTTCAGGAGTATCTGCAGAACAAGTTTAAGAAGACGGATCAGAGGGTGGGTCAGCTGGAGAACCACAGCGCCGCCATCTGCCAGGTGTACAGAGAGCAGGACCTCACCAAGGGTAAGAGCACAAAGAACTGGATCACACGGAGCCCACCCATCTGAACACCTCTACCTGTCCCACATCTGAACACCTCTACCTGTCCCACATCTGAACACCTCTATCTGTCCCACATCTGAACACCTCTATCTGTCCCACATCTGAACACCTCTACCTGTCCCACATCTGAACACCTCTACCTGTCCCACATCTGAACACCTCTATCTGTCCCACATCTGAACACCTCTACCTGTCCCACATCTGAACACCTCTACCTGTCCCACATCTGAACACCTCTACCTGTCCCACATCTGAACACCTCTACCTGTCCCACATCTGAACACCTCTACCTGTCCCACATCTGAACACCTCTACCTGTCCCACATCTGAACACCTCTACCTGTCCCACATCTGAACACCTCTACCTGTCCCACATCTGAACACCTCTACCTGTCCCACATCTGAACACCTCTACCTGTCCCACATCTGAACACCTCTACCTGTCCCACATCTGAACACCTCTACCTGTCCCACATCTGAACACCTCTACCTGTCCCACATCTGAACACCTCTACCTGTCCCACATCTGAACACCTGTCCCAAAGACAGCTTAATGTTATGTAAGAAGCATGCATAAAACAATGTGCTGTATTTAAATATGTTGTGTTGCCGTGTAGATCTGGGGATGGAGCACTTCATGAGGAAGGTGGAGGCCGCGCACTGCGCCGCCTGCGACGTGTTCATCCCCATGCAGCCGCATCTCATCCAGAAACACATCAAGTCCCCGGATCACAACTACAACAGGAAGGTGAGCAAACATCACCAAGCATTCCTCACTCTGCAGGAAGGTCCTCTGCAAGGTTCAAGGCTCCATCACCACGTGCTCAGCAGCTACAGTGTGGCTATGGACATGAAACACTGAGGTCACAGGCTCCTCCAACAATATATAGGACGTGAAACACTGAGGTCACAGGCTCCTCCAACAATATATAGGACATGAAACACTGAGGTCACAGGCTCCAACAATATATAGGACGTGAAACACTGAGGTCACAGGCTCCTCCAACAATATATAGGACATGAAACAAATACAAATAGTGCAAGAAGAGTCTATATACAAGTAAATGGAATATGATATATAGATAAATAATTAGCAAAATGCAATCTTATGGATGTTCTTCACAGAGTTCAGGTGTTTCATAGTCTTATGGTCTGTGGAATAAAACTGTCTCTGAGTCTGGTGGTTTTTATACTGATCCGTTCAGGAAATAAGAAAGATATCAACATGATGAATTACTGATGTTTACTCTCTCTCTCATTAAAGGGGATGATGGAGCAGTCGAAGAGGGCGAGTCTCTCCGTCGCTCGCAGCATCCTGAACCACAAACTGATCGGGAAGAAGCTGGAGAGCTACCTGAAGGTAAAGAGTCCTCTCCTGTATATCAGTATGTAGTGTCTCTACTTTAAAGAGTCCTCTCCTGCTGATGTTCAGGTGTATATCAGTATGTAGTGTCTCTACTTTAAAGAGTCCCTATTCTTCTGATGTTCAGGTGTATATCAGTATGTAGTGTCTCTACTTTAAAGAGTCCTCTCCTCCTGATGTTCAGGTGCATATCAGTATGTAGTGTCTCTACTTTAAAGAGTCCTCTCCTGCTGATGTTCAGGTGTATATCAGTATGTAGTGTCTCTACTTTAAAGAGTCCTCTCCTGCTGATGTTCAGGTGTATATCAGTATGTAGTGTCTGTACTTTAAAGAGTCCTCTCCTGCTGATGTTCAGGTGTATATCAGTATGTAGTGTCTCTACTTTAAAGAGTCCTCTCCTGCTGATGTTCAGGTGTATATCAGTATGTAGTGTCTCTACTTTAAAGAGTCCTCTCCTGCTGATGTTCAGGTGTATATCAGTATGTAGTGTCTCTACTTTAAAGAGTCCTCTCCTGCTGATGTTCAGGTGTATATCAGTATGTAGTGTCTGTACTTTAAAGAGTCCTCTCCTGCTGATGTTCAGGTGTATATCAGTATGTAGTGTCTCTACTTTAAAGAGTCCTCTCCTGCTGATGTTCAGGTGTATATCAGTATGTAGTGCAGGGCTATTCAATTAGTTTAGAATGGAGGCCGGTTGATGAAAATGATCGAAAGCAAGGGGCCGGCTTGAAAAAAAAAATGGCTTGAAATATGAGCAATCATATTAAGAGCTTCAGATACAGTAAATACTACAACAGCATAGTGGAGTGCATATATTTTGTTTAATTAAATCAAACATAGCCCCAAGGCCTTTATAAATGGCAAGTTCAGAACTCAGTACATGTGAAGCTAATATAACCATCAACATCATTGGATTTAGATTAAATGATCTAATAATTCACACAAAATAGCAATTTAGGGCCATACACAAACAACAGTGCATATTATGGTATAATAAAAATAAAGACATGTGAGCCATACCACATCAATTGCTTAATTAAAAGCAAAAACAATTATCAAAAGACTTGTATTAATTACCAAACCACAACACACAGCCTTTTAAAACTCAAACCTTTTTTGATTAACATAGTGATAACTGACATACAGTCTGCAACCAACTTGGCAGATATGTGCCATCTAATGAGAGAAATGGCATTTTTTCGATTTAGCAAGAGCAGGGAAGTCGGGAGTATACGTTGTCATGGCAATACGCATACAGTGATGCAGATGCTGGTCAGTGAGGGATGCGCGATTATTAGTTTTTATGGCATTCATGTGTGAGAATGCCGATTCGCACGTGTAAGTCGAGCCAAACATTGTGAGGACAAAAAGTGCAAGACCCCTTGAATGAGGGAATTTCTCGTGGCTGACTTCATGAGTCCAGAACTTTTCAGAACCTGCCAGCTGAAATGACTGTCGCAGGTCATCTGATGACTGAATGTCAATGAGTTCGAGTTGTAAAGACGCCTCATTTAATGTCACAATCAGCTCCTTTGCTTTCAGTGCAAACTCTCCCTCTACATTCACAGAGAAAGGGTCCTTCACAAATCTCATCACTTCAGCCGGGAGACTGAAATGTTCAAACCTCGCGGCAAAGTTGGTTTTCAATGCGTCCATAAATCCAGTCATCACCTCGGTGATTTGTAAACCTGCAGTGCGCAGTGTTGGAAAATGGAGCATTTTGCCTGGACATAAATCCGTGGAAAAAAGTGTGAGCTTTTTTTGAAACGCATGGAGTCTCTCCACAAGTTGTGTGACCATTTTATCTCTGCCCTGCAGCTCCAAATTGAGTTGGTTCAGATGTTGGAAAATGTCGCTCAAAAAGCAAACGGCAGCGTAAAACTCATCATTCTCTATCAGACACAGAAAGGCGTTGGCTTTTTTGTGTTTTGAATTGCGGAGAAACGCCATGATCTCCTCCTTAAGTTCACAAAATCGTTTCAAGACGTTTCCTTTGCTTAGCCATCTAATGTCACTGTGCATGAGCAAATCATTATATTGAGCTGACATGTCTGACAACATCTGGCGGAAAAGGCGGTGCTGTAAACTGGAGTTACAACGAATAAAGTTAATAATCGCCATGACAGAGTCCATTGTGTTTTTTAACTCACCACTTAGTTTTGCGCACAGGAGGCTTTGGTGGATGAGGCAATGAAGCGATCTCAGCTGTGGAGCCACATCTGCCAGCCTAGCGGACAGTCCCTGTGTTCGGCCCGACATCGCAGGTGCCCCATCCGTTACAAGCATGTTAATACGATCCAATTCCAACTTGTGCTCCTTGAAAAACGAAACCACTTTGTGGAACATCACCTCACCGGTCGTGTGTCCATCCAAAGGAATTAATCCAAGTAGATCCTCCCGAAAGCACTCACCATCAAAAAATCTAACATAGAGGCACAGTTGTGCAACATCGCTGCTGTCAGTGGATTCATCAATAGCTAGCGACATAACCTCCGCCTTTCTCAGTTTGTCCAAGAGAATCTCAAAAACGTCCGATGCAAGGGTCTCCACTCTCCTTGATGTTGACGTGTCAGAAATCGGAATGTTCTTAATTGAGTCAATAACGCTTTTTCGGATTTTCTCATCTGCAACCACTTCCTCAATTGATGCAAGCATACACTCTTTGACTGTCTCTGCGTCCGTAAAAGGCCTTTTCTTTTTGCCTAATATCCAGGCCACTCGTAGGGATGCTGCGGTAGCTCTCTCTTGGTCAGTGCAAGCCCGAAACAGGGAGCTACGTCTTTGGTCATAGCACAAAGTTAACCCCAAAATCTTCTGGCGGCGAGCATCAGAGCCCGCTGGAAAAGTGGCGTCAAAGTTGGCGTGAGCTGTCTTAAAATGCCTTCTCAAGTTGTACTCTTTACACACCGATAAACACTCATTGCAGATTAAACACACGGGCCTTCCACTGACATTTACAAACAAGTACTTCTCTTTCCACTCGCTGTTGAATTGCCGGTTTTCGGTGTCAACCTTTCGTTTTTTTAACGTAGAAAGAGACATTTTGATATCCAACTATGCTGACCAGGTTTGATGAATCGTACCATTGGCGCGAAACCGTTGAAGGTGCGCGAGCTTGTAGTGAAGGGCAACGCGAGCCGCGAGGACGCGCGCAGAGACGCAATAAATGACAGGAGTTGTCACTACAGTAGCTAGTAGGTGGGTTCGAAACCCGAGCCCGCCAAAGTTTTCAAGCAATGTCTTCCCCTCTATCTCTCAATTTAACACCCTCTCTGGAATAAAGTCACTCTGGCCCAAAACATTTATAAAAAAAAAAAAAAAATTAAACTTTATTTTAAAAATTAAACTTTTTAACATTATACTCAAAGGGCCAGTAAATATCACCCGGGGGCCGGATTTGGCCCGCGGGCCGCCAATTGAATAGCCCTGATGTAGTGTCTCTACTTTAAAGAGTCCTCTCCTGCTGATGTTCAGGTGTATATCAGTATGTAGTGTCTCTACTTTAAAGAGTCCTCTCCTGCTGATGTTCAGGTGTATATCAGTATGTAGTGTCTCTACTTTAAAGAGTCCTCTCCTGCTGATGTTCAGGTGTATATCAGTATGTAGTGTCTCTACTTTAAAGAGTCCTCTCCTGCTGATGTTCAGGTGTATATCAGTATGTAGTGTCTCTACTTTAAAGAGTCCTCTCCTGCTGATGTTCAGGTGTATATCAGTATGTAGTGTCTCTACTTTAAAGAGTCCTCTCCTGCTGATGTTCAGGTGTATATCAGTATGTAGTGTCTCTACTTTAAAGAGTCCTCTCCTGCTGATGTTCAGGTGTATATCAGTATGTAGTGTCTCTACTTTAAAGAGTCCTCTCCTGCTGATGTTCAGGTGTATATCAGTATGTAGTGTCTCTACTTTAAAGAGTCCTCTCCTGCTGATGTTCAGGTGTATATCAGTATGTAGTGTCTCTACTTTAAAGAGTCCTCTCCTGCTGATGTTCAGGTGTATATCAGTATGTAGTGTCTCTACTTTAAAGAGTCCTCTCCTGCTGATGTTCAGGTGTATATCAGTATGTAGTGTCTCTACTTTAAAGAGTCCTCTCCTGCTGATGTTCAGGTGTATATCAGTATGTAGTGTCTCTACTTTAAAGAGTCCTCTCCTGCTGATGTTCAGGTGTATATCAGTATGCAGTGCCTCTACTTTAAAGAGTCCTCTCCTGCTGATGTTCAGGTGTATATCAGTATGTAGTGTCTCTACTTTAAAGAGTCCTCTCCTGCTGATGTTCAGGTGTATATCAGTATGCAGTGTCTCTACTTTAAAGAGTCCCTTCTTCTCTTTAGGGGGAGAACCCGTTCACTGGGAATCAGGACGACCAGGACCCCGAGGATTCGATGGTGATGGACGTCTCTGAACTGGAGCTCACCGGCGAGGGAGGAGGCGACCAATCAGAGGAGGGGAAGGGACAGGAAGAGGAGGAGCTTCTGGGGGAAGAGGAGGACGACAAGGAGCTAGAGGAGGAAAAGGAGGCAGCAGCAGAAACAGCTGTGGGAGAAACAACAACAGGAGAGGAGGAAGAGGAGAAGATGGATGCTGAGGAAGGACAGCAGGGAGAGGAAGACGAGGATGGATTTGAAGTTGAAGATGAGGAGGAAGGATATGTGGTGCACGATGAGGCCGGTGAAGATGAGGGAGTGAAGGAGGAAGAGGAGAAGGAGGAAGAGAAGAAGGAGGAGGAGGTGAAGGAGGAAGAGGAGGTGAAGGAGGAAGAGGAGAAGAAGGAGGAAGAGGAGGAGAAGAAGGAGGAAGAGGAGAAGAAAGATGAATGACTTTTGCACCATGTGACTCTGAGTAGATGAGATGTGCTTTGGGGTCAGAGTTTAGTTCCAGGAGCTTCAGCGTCTCCCCGTAGAACAACCCCTCAAACTTCAAAATGGAGCGCGTCTCCAGACTTCAAAATGGAGCGCGTCTCCAGACTTCAAAATGGAGCGCGTCTCCAGTCTTTAAAATCAGACGTTAAAATGGAGCGCGTCTCCAGACGTTAAAATCAGACTTCAAAATGGAGCGCGTCTCCAGACTTCAAAATGGAGCGCGTCTCCTCTCTGGAACGTTAATAAGATGATAAACGACATCCTGCTTCCCCACAGAACTCCTCCCAAACAATAAAGCATGTTTTTTTTAATTAATTCTGACATTAAACTCTGACCTAATTCACTGGTTTTTAAATTCAGAACGCTTTGAAACCCCTCCTGCTCCCAGCGTTAGTCCATCGAGCTCGTTCCGTTTTTATCAAAGCTCCTCGTCTCCTCCTCCTCGCCTCCTCGTCTCCTCCTCTCCTCCTCGTCTCCTCGTTCATCTTCACACGTTCTTTTTTTTGTGCCTTTTTTTGTTGAAAGTATTTTTATTTTCTTTACGACTGTGTGGAGTCGGTGTTATAAACATGAGTAATGTTCATAGGGTTTTTATTCTGCAGCCGTCTGTGGAGTGTTGTATTTAACATGGTGTATGAAACAAACTGTTCACTCTGAGGAAGAAATAAAGCTGTTGAATAAAATCACCGTTTCACTCGTTTCTCTTTAATCTATCCAGGAGTCATCTCATCCTTTTCTCATTTGACTTGCTAGTGAGTGTAATACTCATGTGTTCAACTGAAATATAGTCATTTACTTCATTTGTACTTCTTTTACTCAAGTACAACATCTGAGTACTTGTACTTTTACTGAAGTACCAGATCTGATGTAAAATGCAGCCATTACTTTAATATGTACTACCTGGTAAGAGATGTATTGATCTTGCAGGTGGCCGTGATGTTTTGTATTTCTATTGAAGGTTTATGAGATGCTGTAACTACATATGTTCCATCCTTGACCACAGGATGGCGTACAAACACAGAGAGGAGACTTAATAAGCTTTGAGAAACATCCCAGCTCTCCAGAGGGTCTACTTTCTCCTGTTGCAGCTCATCCCTTACACAGACCCTCAGATTGACTGAAGGAGAAATATGAAGGTTTATTTAAAGCTGGTTATGTGAATAAGTTATTGGGCTTTTTTTACCAACTAAGATTTGTTAGGAAGTGTTTTAATTGACTGAATTTATCAAAAAAATGGACTCATTAACACATGAATACTGCTGTGTCATATCTGTTTACATATAAGTACAAGAGAAGAGAAGCACAGATTCCAATTGAGCTTTTTGAATTAGCTGAGGGCCGATGCAATGCTTATGTAATATAGACTAAATGCTGTAAAGTGATAATATCCTTAAGCTGATATGAGTTTACAGATATCAGGATTTACCATATATTAACGTTAGGTGTCTTAAACTTCTTATTTGATCTTTGTTGTGTTTTATTTGCTATTTTTGAGATGTTTATATTGCCTAATTGTTTATTTTCCACTCTTTTTTATTTCTAATTATGTGCAATACTTGGTTTGCCAAGCTGCTGCAATGAAACATGTCCCTATGTGAGATTAAAGAGCCTTATCCCCTAAACAGCCTGGTTATCTGTAACTTTATTAAAATACAGTTATTAAATCATCTTTGTACTGATGAATTCTGACATGAAACTGTGAATTCAGAATGACAGTTTGAATAAATAACTGATTCCCACAAGTACTAAAAATTCTGACTTTAAAATCTGACCTTATTCTAAAATCTGACTTTTGCATTGAAATCATTGCCAGGTATTGCGTGATGTTACCCGGATGTTACCCCCTGAGAAGGAGGGGGCGGGTCAGCTGTCAAACCTTAGCCCCGCCCACCGTGCGTCTGACGTCATCGCCCGACGTCAAACGGACGGTTTGTTCTGGATTTGGGGCGAGGAAGGTCTGCTGACTGACAGCGACATAAAGAAGGTAAAGCAGCATTTAAAGACCCCCTCGCGACCACCGTAAGGTGTTTAAACAGCGCGAGGACCTGGGGGAACCCCCCAAAACCCTCTGTCGGCAGCGGATTTCCCGCGCTGTCAGTGTGCGCCTCAATGTCCTCGCGGGCCTTCAGCCGGCTCTGTGTTTTACTCTTTAACGTTCAAAGCGAGGCTTGTTGTTGTTGTTGTTGTTGTGTTTTATTGTGTGTCGAGTCCTCCTAACTGTCAATACTAGCGGTTAAGAGGTCGTTCTCATGGCAACGGTGCTGTCAGGAGTAGAGCTAGCAGAGTATCATGCTAACAGGCTAACGGGCTAGCTGCTGTTTGTTTGTAGCAAAAGCTCCAAAGGAAGGAAGTGCGCCACATGTTGAAGGTGATTCTGAGTGGCGGTCAAACGGCGGTACTGCAGCCTCCTCTCCCATTCACTTGGATGAGATAAACAAGATGAACAGTGAATATGTAGATACCAATAAAGAAGGACATATCTATAGATACACAATATAAACACACAGATCGTCATATAAAGGGATTCTGAAATATATCAGGACATTGGAAACACATTTCTGCTCAATAATAAAGTTAAGGAGGTTTCTTTTTAAATGTTACACATAACTTATCCTGCAAACACACTGCAAAGATTTAGACAACAACTTCATATAAGATACGATATACCTTATTAATCCCAAAGCGGGACATGCTTTCGTTGCAGCAGCATGTAAGTCGCTTTGGATCAAAGCGTCTAACAAATGACATGTTATAATAATAAAACAATCTTTAGAAAGAGACTCCTAATTTTGAACGTTTTTACCAAGAATTAAAACATTAGAATCTGAGGATGAAACCCTCTTTATTCTCACACACATGTTCACACACACATGTTCATACACACATGTTCACACACACATGTTCACACACACATGTTCACACACACATGTTCATACACACATGTTCACACACACATGTTCACACACACATGTTCACACACACAGTGACATTGGGTTTGTAGGTCTGTCCCTACACACTGAAACACTGCCGGACTTATAGTAGCACTGTTAAAAACATTATGAATATAAAGGCAATTCATTGTGTTATTTACAAACATGAAACACACACACACACACACACACACACACACACACACACAAACATGAAACACACACACACAAACATGAAACACACACACACACACACACACACACACAAACAAACATGAAACTGTATTTTCATGTATTACCTAATATGTCTACCCCTAATATAAAATATAATACAATGTAGTTATCCATATAAACGCATTGTCCTAAGTGTTTTTGTTTTTTTAGCTTTTAAGGTTATTTGTATATTTACATTTGGTGTAAATACTTATCTTTAGCATCCTTTTTTATGCTGAATTGTTTCTTAAAAATACTTATTTTTATTACCCTTATATATTTCTTTTTTTACCTACTTTGCAGCTTATTCTTTCAGATTGTTAATGTTCGCAGCAGCAGACACCAAAGCTAATTTCTTGTATGTGTACCTGATCTGATTCTGATATGATGTTCATAATATAATACATCAGAGTTTACTTTAGTTAAATAAACTCCCAAACAGGAACTCTTTTATAGCCCTTATTTAGATAATTAGGGTGTACAAGTTTATAAAAAGCTCTAAAATCTGAATCCATTTTCACTCTCCATTCATCTGACTGACAGAGAGGGGGCGGGGCTTAAGGGAACACTCAACTGCGCATGCTCTGTGGGCCCACATACGGGTACTCCTTTATTTATTCAATAACATATATACATATACGTTATATATGTTCACATCAGGGGTAGACATATAAAGTAATACAACACAAGAACAGAAAGTAAATAAATAAACAAATATAAAGGAAAAGCCCCGTAGGCCGTGACGTACGTTACGTTCCGCCAGCAGCGTAAGTTAAGCAGGTTACGCAGGCAGGATCTCATGTAAAGAGCGGCGTGCGTAACTTACGTGATATTCTGAGAGGAGGTTTACGTGCGGATCTGTCAGCGGACATGGCGGCGTGCTGAGGGAAGGTTAGAGAAACTCACTTATTGCTCTTTAAATTATGACTCACTGTAGTTCGTGTTAAATCACGATTTCTGTGACACGTAGCTCATGTTTCTGTCTTTACATAACGCTACCAGTGGTTATGGAAAAGCAGCAACATGGCTGTTCATGTGGTTTAATAATCGATGTTCATTTAAAGTCCATGTGTTGCTGGTTGTATTATTGTTAGCTTAGCATTGCTTCATAGGGCATCGTGCTGAGAGACTCTATAGATGTTGGGTTGTATTATTGTTAGCTTAGCATTGCTTCATAGGGCTTCGTGCTGAGAGACTATAGAAGTTGGGTTGTAGGGACACGTGTGGATGTCTTTAGGTCCACAGTGTGAATTATCTTATACAGGTCTTTAGTGTCATTCAGGGTAGCAATACATTACAAGTCCATAAGTTATAGTGCGGACGGATAAAAAAAGATTCGCAAAATATACTTTGTAAACTATCTGATAAATAAACACTATGACGGGCTAAATGACAGCTAAAACCCTATAACAGTGGGATATTATGTACATTAAGAATGGCATATTAAATGATATATAGATGTAAAATGTACAGTTGACAGAAAGCTGAGAGTATGGAATCAGATTGTGTTTGTTTTGTACAGTTCATTTTATTTTTAGGGAAGTTATTTATCTTTAGAAAGAGACTCCTGATTTTGAATTTTTTTTACTAAGAATTAAAACATTAGCATTTGAGGATGAAACCCTCTTTATTTCTCACACACATTCACACACACACACACACACACACACACACACACACACACACACACACACACACACACACACACACACACACACACACACACACACACTAGGGCTGCACGATATTGGAAAAAAACTGACATTGCGATATTTTTTCCCCTGCGAGATATATATAGATATATATATATCTATATATATCTATCTATATATCTATATATCTATATATATATATATATATATATATCTCGCAATATGAAAAAATACAGGAATTGAAGAAAAGACAAACCATCCTTTCTTGAACTTTAATGCTATACAATTGGTATTTTTTTAAACTATATTTAGCCGGATGAAGGATTTTAGTCATGGACGTCTGGATCTTAAAGGAGAGGTGTCATGCTTTTCCGGTTATTACCCGTCCCCTTGTGTGTTATGAAGGTTTTTATGCATGTAAACGGTGTGCAGAGTCAAAACCCTCAAAGTACACCCTGTAGCGAGTAAAACTCTAACACAGAGAAGACCTCCCCAAAACGCCTCGTTGGAGATTTCCAGTATGAACATCGGATCTGGTGTTTAAAGTAGAGTCGAGTGAAGCGTCGCTTGAACACACAGGCGAGCAGCAGCAACATGAAACACAGCAGCAGCAGCATAGCGAGGCAGAGGCAGGAAGACCTGGCAGCTTCAATAGAGCGGCATGTTTAGGAGAATGTGATTGGTGTAGGGCCGTGCAATTAATCGTATTTTAATCGCAATTACGATTTTGGCCTGCCACAATTACGAAAACAACATAATCGAAAAAAACAATTATTTAGCTTTGCTAGGTTGTGACCGTGCAACATATTTGATTTAATACATTTTTGTCTAATTTATTTGTATTTATCATATTTATATGGTTAGTAGCTTGTTGAAGCGCGCTCCAAA